TAGAGGCACAGTCTACTAATCCAAAAAGATATTTTCGTCCACGATCATTTGGCATAGGTGTAGGATCACCCTTATGAAGATAGTTTGGTCGTTGCTCAGTAAATCGAGCATATACTTGGCGTGGTGGTTTACAGTGCATTTCACCAATAAGTTGGTTATTAATCCAGTTACGAACTCTTTCTAACGAAGCTGAACCTTTAGGTAATCTTTCCCATAATGCCCGTGGGCCAGGAAATGTCGAATAATAAATTGGATATAAAATTTTATCAAGCTGTTTATCCGAAAGAGGTGGTCGATTTTTATACCATTTTAAAATATCAATAAAAGGAAAATTATAACCAGCTTTCTCACAAGCATCTTTCATTTTTTCAGCGGTTTGAAAAAACCCATTTGGTTGATAGTATAATTTTGATAATATTACCTCTCGTTTGGCTTTCTTGGCCTTAGATGTATGAATCTCTATAATCGGTTCTAATTCAGCTATACCACAAAATGCCATGTTTAATATTAACAAAATAAAATGTTCCAAAGACCCAAACCCAATCGTGGATTGCATATGCCAAGTACTGATAGGGAAGTAGAGTTAGAGCAAATTAACCAGATTTTGAGAGATGAATTATCCACCGAAATTTCTCATAATAAAGCTAACGAAAAATGGATATCTCAGCTAGAACGTGATCTTGTTAATTGTGAGAAAGAGATTACCCGAAAAGATCTTGCTATTGTAGCATCTAATGAAGAAATTAAGGAGCTTCAGACTGAAATCTCGTCTCTAAAAAAAGAGCTGTATCAAGCCCGAAAAGAGATCAGAGACAATAATAATTATACTACTGATATAGAAAACAAGTTACAAGAATATTATAATATTATATCCTGTTTGAAACAGAGAATCAGAGTTATATCATCTCGTGGAAATTCACCAGTTCGAAATAATTCACCTGATATATATTCATTTTCAGAAGATATAGATATGGCTCATATAGATCCTTTTATAAATATTAATAGAGGACTCACTCGGCTTGAAAACCATTTCAGGGGACATGGCACGCTATTAAACAACCCGGCTAATATTGTCCAAGGTATGCATGGTACTTTAAACATTATTAGGGCTAATTATCAAAGAAAAGATCAGGATTTAGATGATATTACAAATCAACGAGATGATAGAGATGCTAATATAGTCCGGTTACAACAGGATATTAATGGTTATAGGTAACAGAATATCGCTTTGCAAAATCAAGTTAATCAGCTTATATTAGAGCGTGACAATTCTCAAAATGATCTTACTTTAATGACTATAGCTTATAATAATGAACAGATAGAACGCCGTCGCTGGTGGGGGGTAGCTCAACAATTGGAAAGAGGAATGCAGATACGAATTAACACTTTATTACTTGAGAAGTTGGCACTTAATTTTAAAGTTCGACGATATTTTCAACAATTACAAAGATGTCATACACATGGGAGGGAATTGCAACTTAGATTGGATACATGTCGAGATGATTTATTTCTCAGTGATCTTCAGTTGGATCTTAAATGGAGTAAGTGGAAAAATCGTGCTCGAAATTCTGAGCAATTAATTTTGAATTTACGTGGACAAATTTTTGTGCTTCAGAATAATAACTTACATAGAAACAATATGGTAGGATATGGACCACCAACTTTTGGCGGTAGACCTGGAGAAGATCCTGAAGACTTTATTAAAGAATTTAAAAGGTATGTATTAGCTAGTCGAATGGATGTAGCAAATGTTGGTGGAAGCGCAGAAATAGATGGGTTATTTGATTCATGTTTGACTGGAGATGCCTTAATTTGGTTTATAAATGAGATCAAAGGCCGAAATTATCAACTTGATAATATTCTTGACAATACAGGAGCAGCAACTATAACAGCATTCCGAGCATTAAATAATGGGGGATTAACTGGTATTAATGCTAACCAATTTCGTGGAGAAGCTTTAATAGTGCGAAATACTGCTGGGGGTGATAATACAATTACAGGTGCAAATATAATTCCAGCAGGAGTTTGGGATGAAGATTGGTCAATTGCTGGTGGGCATCCTGCTCCAGCTGGAACTGCTGTTGCAGCACCAAATGCTAATGGAGGAGTAAATGCTAGTATTGTTCTTCCCGGCATTAAAATTGGACAAAAATTATATAAGCTTGAATTTAACTATACAACAACCAATGCATTAAAACAAACTGCTATGTTTGGTACAATTGTACAGGGAACTAGATCAGTTCAACAATTTGCATCAGACTTACGAAGAATTGGCAGACTTGCCAAAATGATTCCTGCACAAATTCGTGAGCAATGGTTAAGAGGATTAGCACCAATGAATCAATATATTCTTCGTTCTAGTGGTATGTTTTTTCAGACAATGGATGAGCAACTAAAAAATTTGGCAGGGCTCGAAGCATATGCACTTAGTCAAAATAATACATCTCAACAAGTAATACAGCAACCAATTCCAGTTTATAATCAAGCTCCAGTAACATCTTCTCAACCGGTTCAGCAAAGCTGGCAAGGACAAAATTCTACACCTGTGCCTGCATCTCGCCGACGCAAAGCTACAGGAGTTGCTGAATTTGCTATCGATGAGAATGGAAATCCAATATCTCGAGCCAGACAAAAAAAGATTGTACCCAAAGTACTACCAAAAAATACAGAGGAAATTCTTGCCTATAATCAATTAAAACTTATACAAGATGCTGGTTATTCTGACTTTAATGAATTCTTTAAAGCTCGTGATAATTATTTTAGATCAAAAGCTCGTTTATCCAATAAACCTCAAGTTCCTCCCAAACCAAAAAGATTGACTAAAGCCCAAAAACAAATTGACGATCAAAATTCTGAGATGTTAAGTCAGATGGCTTCTAGATGGTCTCTCAATGATCCAGTATCAAATCTTGCCGAATATGATCAATATAACTATGAAGATAATGAGGACAATAACTGTGAATATGACGAAAATGAGATTGAGGATGGGGAGGAATATTATGATAATGATAATTTGGATTTTTATGAAAACAATTATGAAAATTTTGCCTATAATGCTGAGAAACCTATACGTGCAAATTCTCGATATTCTCCTACAAAAAAAAAAGTAACACGTGGTTCTAGAAGTACTACTTCCTCAAATCAAAAGCCAGCTTCAATATCACGTCCAAAAATGAGCAAGGAGGAGCTTGCACAAGCTAGAATGATTAGACGTCAAGCTACAGCTTCTTTGGCAAATAAAGCAGTCGCAGGAATGACCACACAAATACATATTACAGATCTTTTAAAAATGGTATCTCCTGCTATGCGTGTTGAACTTCGAAAAGCTCTTATGGGAAAAGAAGACATCTCATCTGAACCTATGCAGATAGCTAATCTTGCTGAACAAGGATCTGAAGTACCACAAGCTACTGTAGTTTATATCGCTGGTGATATTGATAATGTAAAATTTGATAAAGGTATTCTCGATACAGGATCAAATATTAATATGATTGATAGAGATTTCTTTGATTCTCTTGGTTTTAATATTGATCAAGAAGCACGATATATGATTAAAGGTGCCGGCATGAAAACGCTTCCAATTGGTGAGAAAAAAGGTATACCTGTTAGTATTGGAGATGTAACTAATGATGATAACTTTTTAGTTATCGAAAATTTGAATCATCCTATTGTATTGGGAATGCCTTGGATTAAACAAGTTGGAGGTATTATAGATACTAATAAAGATCAATTTCAAATGACTGATAATGATGGATATATATATTTGGCACCAATTCAAACTGAGCGTATTTGTAATTTAGCAATACAAGATACTGGAGAATGGCATGCTCCCAAAGAGTGGAATAGCGAAACTAGTATCAAGACACATAGTTTGGAGTTAAAAAAAAATCAGTAGTTCGTGATATGTCAGATAGAACCTGTCACTTTTGCTACAAACAATTTCGGTATCCTTGTAAACTTCGAGAGCATTTTAAGAGAAATAATCAGTGCTCACGGGCAATAACTAACTGCTCACGAGAAAAAATTGATTGCTTATTGGCAGATAGTCATTGTTTACAAGAAATAAATTGCTCACAAGTAGTATCAAATATTAAAGAAAAAATCGATTAAAAATCAGACTTACTATGCCCCCCTATTTTTTCGATCTGAATAATCTTTTCTATCTTCAATCTCAAGATCACGAATTCTAACATATATACTTCCATCTTGAATCCAATTTTTCATTGTTTCAACACCAAGTATTGCAGATTTGCGAGATATAGCATCACTAATTTCTAGTATTCTTTGCTTTGAAGCTTTAACAAATCTCTCACGTAATATATTATTTTCTTCTTTTAAACGGGTATTGAATTCTTCCTCAGTATAAGTAATACTTGGATATTTATTTTGTAAAGCAGGGGACTTCGTATCTAATAATGTCTGTGTATCCCGACAATTCACTTCACTTTGTTCATTTATAGTCGGTTTATATATTCCAGAAGATAAATTACCAGAAACAGTTATATGGTGCTCTTTATTGTTTTGCAGGTCAGTAGGGCAACTTTCGGAGTTATGAGAAAAAACTTTGCTCTTATCCGAAGATAGACTAGTCAAAAATTTTGGCATAGAATTAGGATTACGACGTTGGCGCTGTTTTTTTTTTTGCTGATATCTATCAATTTTATGTTTTAAAAATAATTCAATATTCGGATTAATGCTACTTGCCTCATCTTCAGTTAATGGGTTACGTTTTCGAGCTGTAAGTCGCATCCATGCTTCATTGGTGATAGATGGAGGCAACTGAGCAATAAGGTTTGAGTAGTTTTTATGGAATGGCATTCCGCAGAACAATTCCGTTACATAGTTCCATGAAAAAATTCCAAATGCCAAAATATTTTATGTATCACTTTTATTTATTCTATGAAAAAATCCAGTGAATTCTTTAGAAAATTGCGCAAATTTTTTCTGTGCTAAATAATATATCTGCTATAATGTCATCTGTAACCGAAGAAATTATACCAATGGAATATGAAAGTATTCAATGTTCTATAAATGGAAAGTCTGTTGAAGCTATAATTGATCGTGATTCTGAAATCAATATCATTACCAAAGAAATAGCTGACAAGCTAGGCTTAAAAATCAATAAAGATACTTGCTTTTCAGAAGTTAATAACAAAAGATTTGCCGGAATTGAGTTAGAGATGTATAATATAAAAAATCGTCTTTATACAATTTGCAAAAGACTAGATATCCCGATTAATATTGCTATTATTCCCGAACAAGGTCATAATTCGGTACGAGAATTTTATAAACAACTTAAAAATTATGCTTTAGTTAAGGATATACATGATGAGGATACGATTAATTTGTTCTTTATAAGAGGTCTAAATAAAAAGTTTCAATCGGTAGCTTTTGCTGAACCATTTGCACAAAAGCATATGCCTTTGGATGAGTGGGTTACAAAGCTAACAGGAATAGAAAAAATTTGCCAGTTACTTTCACATAAATTATCAGACTAGCGCGTTAAATGAATCCTAGCAATTTTCATTATTGGGGGTCCCTGACCGCGCGGTCAGGCAAAGCGCAGTAAAGTCACATGACTATAGTGCAGAACACATTCACATCGGAAAAGCCTACTTGTGAGTCATCTATCTTGGATTTACCAAGTGGGGAATAGCCTTGAACTATGTGACATACTGATCTCGCCAAATTTGAAAAAATAGAGTTCATAAATAACAGACTATATCATGGAAGTTTGGTTACCTATAGCAAAGTCAAGTTCATTGATATCCAATTTCGGTCGTATCAAGAAAAAAAAAGGTATTATTTTAAGGCAAAATGCTTGCAAAAGGGATGGTTATGTAAAAACAAATATTAATATTAATGGTATTCGCACAACAATCAGAGTTCATATATTAGTCACGAGAGCCTTCATTCCTAACTCAGAAAATAGACCATATGTTAATCACATTAATGGAATCAAACATGATAATCGGGTTGATAATTTAGAATGGGTAACTTCCAAAGAGAATGCTGAACGTAAGGTATTCCTGAATACTGGTCATGGTAGTTCTAGACGAATTGTGCAGAAAACATTAGACGGGAAAGTTGTCCAGATTTGGGATTCTATTCGCCTCGCAGGCAATTCACTTGAAATTACAAGAACAAGTATTTCGGAATGTTGTAGCAGAAAACGAAGCACCGCTGGTGGTTGGTGTTGGATGTATTATGAAGATTACATAGAACCAGATCTCGATGAAGAATGGAAAGAAATAGAGCTTGATTCACGAAAGTTTAACGTTTCATCTCTAGGCAGAGTTCAGTTACCGAATGGTGTAATCACCCAAGGATCATTATATGCAGGCTATTACCGAATTGGCCGAGTTCATAAATATCGGGTTCACCGTTTTGTGGCATTGGCATTTTGCTCCAAAGAAGAAGGCAAAGAATATGTCAATCATATTGACGGGGATTCCACTAATAACAACGCAACGCATCTAATCTCGAATGGTGTACACAGAAAGAAAATTGTAAACATGCCATACGCCTCAGGCTTCAAGTCAATCAACATGCAGTCAAACAGATTTTCGCTGATGGTACTTTCCAAGAATTTCCATCCTTGGCCGAGGCTCAACGTACAACTCAGATTGATAGTCGAAATATTAGGGCAGTATGTCATGGACTTCGAGTTCACGCTGGTGGGTATCGTTGGCAATACATAAATACCAGTGACACATGATAAATATTGGACATTCAATTACAAATTACCCATAAAGATTTCAACATATATTTTTTAGGTCATGATTTCGAGGTAAAATTTGCCATGCTACTGTATATTGTATTTGTAGAAAAGCTCGTGACAAGGACACTTGACTTTTTTTGTGACGATAACCTTAATAATTAAGTCACGAGACTAGTTGATCGTGCGTATATCTATCGTCAAAAATATAAAAACTGCTCACTCTCATCCCGTAAAAATGGATGCACCTATTTACACTTTTGATAATAATGGCGTCCCCACTGATCCTCAAGTTCTGAAAGTCTATAACAGTATGAATAGGGCCCAACGAGCCAGGTATGCTACTATCACTACTGACCAGGGAAGAAGCGATGTCTTGTACTCAATTGCCCAAGAAAAGAAAATACCGGTATGTTTTGCTTAAATGAAGTACATTTACCGTTAAGTTTTCACTAAGACTTGTTATAAATGTTAGTGGTGGCGTCGCTTAATCGATTTATTTTGATAGCGACATTATCTCAATCTTGTTTATGCTGGGATCAACTTACTTTCCGTCATTGGTTTTAATATCTGGAGCCACTTTCAAAGACGGGACGGTGATCAAGATTTTATTAAATGCTGGAATAACTATAAGCCTGAAACAAGATGTTATCCTTTACAAATTGTGCATTCTCTTTGGAACCCACATTGTGATCGTATTCATAACAGCAATAATAGAAGGATTGTTTAATAAGTTTCAAGATGCGTTATTTATCATCGTTCCAATAATTACTGGGATAGGGTTGGCGGTAGCGGGAGGCCTAATTTGGACGTTGGCAAATACCGCGATTTCTTTTATAGGAGTTGGGATATTGTTTGCGGAGAGTGCTATGTATTATTTTAGTATATACCCTTGATAATAATGATGGTGAAGTTAGATCTTGAAGGGTGCCATTGCCTACGTACACTGCACTTAACCACTACTTACGGCACTGTAATCGTACACGGATTTATTCTGTGTCAATACCTAAATTTATTGTGCAGTTGATTGAAACGACACTCACGTGCCTTTAGAGGGATCACACGATAGAGCGATGTTCATGCACAGTCGATTTCCATTATTTTTTGATTTTCTCTTGGCTCATAGTAGCGGGTTTTACTATCCCTTGCTGTCTCATCTCCACCTATTTACGGTTTTTTCATTTTGGAAATTAGAACGATTCCGGAAACAGAATGTAGCTAATGATTTGCAATTCCGGATCAGCGGTATGTATAACACGTGAAAATTTCATTTCTTTATTAATGGGCAGAGCCCAGTGTCAAAGACACATGAAAAAATAAATTACAAAGTTGGGTACAGACCCCTGACTATTACATCATTTTTTGACACGATATCCCTCGACCCTAGCCCTTTTTGTAGCTGGAGATTTTTCCACACATGCCCTATCCTTTAACAAACCAACGATAACCTCCAATACCTTTTTTACATTCTTACGTAAAGTGTGATATTCCTCCGAATTTTTTTCCAAGGCTTTCTTGTTGAATTCGATGCTATAGGGAATCTCACTTGCTTGAGAGATCTCTCCAGGACTGTAAAGCAAAAAATGCCAATCCCTGGCAGACGTCACGATTCCGTAGAGATAGTCGAAATCATCGTCTTCCCGCTTTCGTTTTTTCTTGTTCGTTTCATACGAGCTTTCGAGTTGTTTTATATTTTGGGCAAAACCTTCGAGTATGCTACGCTGAACTTTATCTTCGGTAACGCAGATTAGGTTTTCGGACTCCTGAGAAATAAATACACGTTAATGTAAAGTCCCAGAAACAAAAAACGTACGATAGGTTTTTCTTTATGAAAAATAAAACAATCCTCAAACCTTGATTCCATAATTAACTCGCCCGGAACTTTCATCACCAATGATTTCGTATTCTGGTCTCATGCTAAATTCTTTCCTAGTTAAGTCTCCTGCGATATGGAGAGCTGTGTGGAGTAATGTCGATACGTATTCGTTTCGCATGGATTCCAAACTATCCAAGACTAAAGACCCGTAATGCTTCATCCTGAACAAAATATCAGCCATGCAATGTGCAAAATGTTGGTCATTGTCTTCGACCTCGTATTGCGGAAGCTCAAACAATGGAATGGCTTCCACACCATCACTGTCGAGGCCATATTTTAATAACACTTCTCTTAGACTGCGGTATGACGAAAAAGCCCTCAATTTTTTCTCCTTAACCTCTTTAGCGAAGTCCACAATTCTTGAGGTAGGCCCACCCTTCATACCATAGCTACGAAGTTTTTCCTCGGTCAACTTGAGGAAATCACGGCCAGCGATCTCCTCATTGCGTAAGATTTCGAAATGAGTATCGTTAAGTTGCAAGTCTTCTTCCCCACGCAAAAATTCGATAAGATTTTCTGTGTCCAACTTTCTAACCACCTCGGCTAAAGTGGGAGCCTGCTTTTCTTCGGTTGCATTATTAGAAGCGGAAGCTGGAGTTGATGTAGCCGACATTTTTCGAGTTATATACGATTTTTGGTGGGATGTTATTGGCTCAACTGAGGAAAAAGGTACGGATTTATCGATTGCTGGGGAATCAGTGGTATATGTGAAAATTGTTCAGTTTCACAATGCGTGTATCACATTACCTTTCGGCAGAAAATTTTCCGGGTGATCGTTATCCTGATTCGGCTGTGCCGGCGATATTCTTTCGATTTCCTCTAATACTTTGATCAAGTTTTCTATAGGTGGGCTACTTCCAACTCGGAAAAGATATAATTTATTTTTCTCTGTTAATCCATCTAAGAATATCACTCTAGTTGTCATTCTTGTCATCGGAATGTCTGCTTCTGAAATATATTGCTTGAAATTTTCGTAATACTTGCTTATTGGATCAGATCCTTGGATTGGGTATCTTGCCATTTTGTATTATATTATGCGCAAAAAAAATTTGTTATAAAATAAGGACATGCTTCCTATTTAGACAAATATAACATTAGCCATAGTCTAGTTATTCAATAGATATATTCAGAAGGCCTTCGATGATTTCACTTGCATCATTCTTCGTTATTTCTGACATTTTCTCTTCTTGGGATAATTCATGATAAAGACTATATAGCTTTTCTAATTTTTCACACAATTCTCCTCGATACCAAGTGCGAGTTTTTTCTATCTTTACATTATATGCTTCCTCATCTGGTACAAGCTTTCTCGCTATATATTTAACATATCTTTCTGGTTTTTCAGCTGTTCGTATTTTTTTCACATAACTAAGATGATTTTTGATGAATTTGCTATCTTTTGACAAATTGCTGCATTTAAAACTTCAAGCAGTGCCTTTTCGATATCTTTTGCTGTAATTGAATTTGTATTGGTATTTTGTTCAGCCATAGTAAAAGTATAGTTTTTTTATTTGTTACATATAACCATGTTTTTTTCTAAATTGAAATTTGTTATATTTAATGAATAAATAAATAATTAATAATATAAGATATTTTATACTAATGCTATCTTATATTTGTCAATATCTTCATAATAATGGCTCTTTATGTAACAGATTTTGTCATAAAGCTGAAGGTTGTTGGGAGCATTATTTGTCAAAACCTCGTAAACCTTGTCTTGTATGTAGAAAGCCTACTGGGGCAGATTGTGGTCGATGTAAAGATCATGCTGATAGCTATTATACATTAAAACATTATTATAAAACTCGTTCTCTTCAGACTATCTCTTAATGCCCTATTTGGGTTGTTCTTTTTTTCTTAAATCTCAAAAATAGATATATATACAATCATAAGAAGGCAGAATTAATCATTATCGAAATTAAGACTTCGGAGAAACAAACTAAGCAAGAAATCTATAATGTTTTCTATGATATACAGTATAAAGAATAGTTAAAGGTCAAATAACTATACAGTTAGTAATAATGGATTTCAGAGACTTACTAGACAAGAAAGCAATATGCTAACTAGATGCTTCGCTTCGCTTCGCATTTCGGGTGCTTTGCACCCACATACAGTTAGCAATAATAGATCTTTTATATAATGAAAATGACATGTAAAAAGCAAACCATTCGTCATTAAAATTAAGTTTTCGGAAACTCCAGCTAGGCAAGAAAGCAATATAGATTTCTAGACATTAAAAGAATGGTTTAAGAGAAAATAGCTATACAATAACTAAAATAAGTCAATATGTTAGAAGACAAGCTAGAGCTGGCTAGCCATAGCTATACCCTTAGCTGGGAAATCCCTCTATCCCCCCCGAGGAGTCTGCTCTAAGTTTGCCCATTCTAGCTGGTTTGAATTTGCTATAAATTTGTCTATACTTTTTGGTTTAAGTGTGATTGAAATCCCTCCATTGTTTCCTTTATTCTTTGATAAGGCAGTCTCTAGCAAGGTGTGTTGTTACATCACAGATGTAGCATAGTGGTATATTGATGGGGGTTAGGGAGATGATAGTCTCATCTAGAGTGAAGATCAAATCCTTGGCTATGAGGAGATCTTCTCTTGTTTCGAAACTTACTACTGAAAATTTCTTGGGTCAATACCTTGTTAAGCATGTGTGAGGTATATAGCATATGTGTGCCTTCATTTCACTTAGGGCCTGTCTCAGGTCCTATACTATAGTGCCCAATGGCAAGTTAACCAGTTTGGCTATTATGTTGTGTTGTTTCCTCATCTGGTTCATAGATCAGTTGGCATCATTTATTATGACTGCATCCTCTTTGATGAGAGTACTATGCCACTTAACTAGTTTCTCCTTGACTGTCTCTTCTTCGAAAGTGATTGTGGCATACTGTCACAGATTCTGTGTTCTCATACTTATTCCTGATATGTTACTGAATCTGGCAAAGTACTGTCTGATCTCCATGAATCTTGTGTTCAGGGGTATGTTCCAGACCACTATGGATTTATCCTTTTCAATTATTTGTCTGCTGATTTGCATGTGTGTGAGCTTATTGTCACCTAGATTTGGTAACTCTATTATGGTTGTGTTATCTGTTACTTGTTGATCCCCAAAAATCATGATAATTTGAATGCCTTCCTTGTTGTGTTTGCTGCAGATTGCAATGAGTCCTAGGGAAAAGTTGAGGGCTTTAGTTAAGTAGAGAATCTTTGTATTGTTGTTTGGACCTGGAGTAACATTGGCGTCAATTTCCATTTTGAATCTCTCTCTTCCATATCTAATTTCTAGGTTGACTGGTCTTCTCGGTCTAGGCTTGTAGGTTAGGTAAGCCACTTTGTTCTTCCAGTCTACCGATGTCCAGAGCTCCTCCTCATTTACTTTGATAGCCAGCTTGTCCTGTGTTGCGCTGTTTTATACTCCTGATGAAATGCTTACTTCTTCCTGAATGTGTTTCTGATTTGACCCCCCTTCTGCCTGGAGTGCATATTTGGCTAGGAGGGTTCTGTTGTCATTTTCCACTTCTTCCATCTGTTCACTTCATGTTCATTTTGCCTGAAGGGTTTCTATTACTATGTCCATGTTTGCTATGCAAGTAGTTGTATTCATTAAGTCTTCCTGAGAGTCTGTTTCCTTGCTGGCATAGTTAGGTCTTGTTGCTGAAGTTGTTGGTGTCTTGGTCCGTGTATTGGTGGGCTTCTTGGCATATGGTTGATTACAGAGGGAGGCGATTTTCTTGCTTTTTTTTTTATGCTCTTTGCTACCTTTCTATTCTTTGTTGTTCGAGCTGCAAAACCTTGAGGTTTCTAGTGTTGGAAGCCATTTTCCTGTTGTCAAGGTTGCTGCACCTCAAGTGGTCAGGAAAGAGTGTTATAGTAAAAACATAATAAAAGATTTATAAATCAATTTTATAAGTAATTTTTTTGAAATTTAAATAAAAATTTTAATATAAAACTTATATAAATAGTCTTAAATAACTTTATTCTTTAACTTTTAAAAAATATATATTTAAATTTTTATTTTATTTTATTATTTTTTTTTAAAAAGCAAAACAGGCCTACTTTATTAATATAGTATCAAAACATATTATTTGATTCAGCAAAGAAATTTTACATACTTATTTTCTCTATGCTCTCTATTACTATGTTACTAAAAAGCTAATTGGTTAATAGAAATCTCTTATGAAATGTTGCTTCTATAATAGAAAACTAATATGCCTAGGCTTTGTTAGTGCCTTCTATGAAGAGTTGAAAAATATTTTGTATTTCCAAGATAATCTCACCCAACATATCATTTTGAATTTCATGTTGCTTTTTTATAGTGTCTTCTTTTGATATCATGTATTTACTGTATTTCTATTTTTGTTTCTTGATTTTGATAGTTATACCTTGGGTTTTCTTCCACAATATCATCCTGCAGTATCTGTCTAACCAGATGTTTTTTTTTTAAAAAAATGCTGACTCAGCTTTATTTTATTTGAAATTTGGTAGGTATGTACATATAATGCTATAACTATCTATGGTTACCAAATATAGTTTGATAAAGAAACACCTTTCAACTGCACTTACCTCATGGCTTGTTGCTACCTCTTTTTCGAAAGTGCTAACCTGCCAAGGCTGGACTAGTGCTGTATGAAAATTCCAAAATAGTGAAAGGTGTTATTATATTCTGGATGGATTTGTTCATATATTTGTTGACCAAATATATGAATTGCTCTTTAATATGGTCTTCCCTTTCTTTGAGCCATGGCTTTAGTATATTTGCATTTTTTCTTTATCTTTTTGATGATACCTTGTAGTGCTTTTCACAGTTGGAAGTCTTCACAATGTCTTTTCCATAGCTCTTGAAGATATTTTGTAATGTTATTTTTAATTCCTATGTAACAGTCATGTCTGTATTGTTTTTCTGAAATTGTTTCTTGAATAATTTAAGTTATTTTCTTAAGAAAAGCCCTCTAATTGCATACTTCAGATATCTCTCATAATAAAGTGATGTTTTTTTTTTTAATTTGTTTGTCCATTTTAATGCATTGCTCTGGGTTGAGTGTCTTGTAATATTTGTGGTGATACTATTAATTATGTCCCTATCCTGTATGTGTTGCAGATGAAGGGATATATATTTGTTTCTATTTCTCCACATTTTTTGTACAAATTGTCTTTGTAGATTGAAGGTGCTTTGTGGTGTAGCTTGGTTTTTGTGGGGAGTTCTTCATTCCATAAGCTTAGTAGGAATTTCATTTGTTGTTGGTCCTTCCAGTTTATTGTATAGTTACTCATTTTAGGGATTTGAAGGTACTTGAAGGTGGTGGGCCAGTGGATTTTCTGGATTAAATGGTTATCGAAGTTGTTTCTGGTTCTGTTTAGGAGCCTCTATTTTGTCAAATGAATTGCTTGTATGATTTTCTTGGTTGTTTCTTTAATTGATACTTCCAGATTTTATTTATTCCATTGTATAAGAAATGTATATATTTTAAGATTTCAGTTTTGATTGTGATGTTTCCTGTATTGGATTTCATTCCTTATTGTTGACCAATCTCTGCCAATTGATCTGCCAGTTCATTCTGTATATTTCCTGTGTATGCTTGGACTTTGAATAGTTCTATTTTTATATTTTTTTGCTTGCAGATTTCTTTGATAAGTTGTAGAATGTTTGAGTTTTTTTTGTTTTTTATAATGTTGTGTAGTACTGAGCTTGTTAGTTTTCTGAATACAGTGGATGACTGCCATGCTATCTGTATATATTTGTACTTTGCTGTAATGTGGAAGGGTACTAATAGCTGTGAGAATGGTCATTAGTTCAGCTCTGATCGAGGAAGGAAATTTTTTGACTTGACCCTGAAAGTTAAAATATTTTTTGTCATTAGTTTTTTAGGGTCCATCCTACTCCTATATAGTGTTGTCTATTATGTCAGCTCATGAAGCCGTCTATATATATTTCAAAATGCATATAGTTATAAAGTTCTTGGCTAATATCATACAGTTCCTTTATGATTGATTCCTCTGCATTGAAGAGATTATTTATGT